TGCAATAAATTGGCGCCCTTGCCGGCTGCGACTGATTTCTAGACATCCGAAACTGTCTTTACCAGAAGGCAAATTCCTCCGCCCCCTCCTCACTTCCTCTAGCACCGAGAGGGCGTTTGCGTGTTGTTTTTTTTCTAAATCCCGCTTTCCGTTTTAGTCTTGCAGCGCCAGAATAGCGGAGGTCGCTGCGAGCGAGCGCCCTTTGCCCATTTTGGCATAACACGGAACGATCTTAGAGAGACGGGGGCAAAAGTTATTTCGTGAAGTTTTGAGTGTTTTGCGATCTCCCAATAGGTATTTCATTAAAACGTTGAGTGGCTGTTAAAATGCGAGATCCAACCGGCCTGTCCCGAGGCCTGTCCACTCTCCCACCGCCCCACTACTGCTTTTTTCCTCTGTTTGTATGTCTGGTATGCACTGCACAGTAATGAGATGAGTGGACCCCAGTTGTTTTGTTTCTTATTTGCCTGGCTGGATTTATATGGTTTGGTAAACAAAGGAAAGGCTATTTTTTTTAATTTTTTGTGTATGTGTGGGGGGGGCTGTGAAATTAGAGGATTGTATTTCAAAATATTCGATATTGGAACATTATGTCACCTTGCAGCCTTATTTGACAGTCTCTTGGTTTTTTGCGGTACTGAAGCAAAATTGTTAAATTGAATGGTTTGGTTGATCTGTTTTGTGTCTGTGTTGCAGTTTGGCCTCAGCAATTTGCAAGAATATTTCCCGTCTCATTGGGCTGCACTGGGTTTTGAGAGGGAGAGAGCACCTTGCTGAGCAGAGAGCATGCGTCATTGTGGCAAACCATCAGAGTTCTCTGGACATTTTAGGTAAGAGTAGACTTCCAACATTACTTTCCGACGTCTAATTCCTTTTATTTATTTGGATAATTAATGTAGGTTGTCACTTTTAACCCCCCTTTTTTTTGTACTCACTTTGCTTTCAGGAATGTTTGAGTATTGGAATGTCATGAAGAAGTGCACAGTTGTGGCTAAAAAGGAGTTATTTTATGCCTGGCCATTTGGATTGGCTGCCTGGTTGTGTGGTCTCATCTTCATTGACAGGCTCAACTCTGGACGGGCCAAGGACTCAATTAACAAAGCAGCAACACAGATCAAGCAGGATCAGGTATGTGCCAAGTGAAATTGAGTTTGTATTGTCACCTGTCATCTCTTTGCACTGTCATATGTATTGTGCTTATTCTACCAGGTGAAACTATGGATTTTCCCTGAGGGTACACGCAAGAATACTGGTGAAATTCATCCTTTCAAGAAAGGTGCTTTCCATGTTGCTGTAAGTGCTCAACTCCCTATTCTTCCTGTTGTGTACTCTCCATACTACTTTCTTGATGATAGGCACAGGACTTTTGATAGTGGTGAGTTTTTTGACTTTTGTTTTAAACTACTACTGTTGTTAATGTATTGCTGCTTTATTATTTTTTCTTTCCCTTTATTTTCTTGCAGGAAATGTCATAATTTCTGCTTTGCCTCCTATTTCAACTGAAGGGTTGACCATGGAAGATATTGACAGTCTAATGGAAAGAGTTCGACAATGTATGGTTGATGAATTTATGAAGATGTCAAAAGAAGTGAAATCTGACCTCCTCCCTCCATACCAAATTTCTGGTTCGTAACGAAGCAGTTTGGTTGATTTGGTTGTGTTCCCTTATTTTAGAGATGTCATGGAGTATAGTGGGTGTAACTTTACACTAAGCCACATACCAAAGCATACATAGATTGTTTAATAATGAAGAATTCTTTTTCAAATCTTTTCTTTCTAACACTTTATGTCTGTTAAGTAATTTTATGTCTTGCTTTCCTACTATTATCAGTTGTTCTTTACTGCTGGTGTTTGTAAAGAAACTTAGAAGAAAAGTTAGAGCAATATTTTGGAATAGCTCAAATGAGGAGTTAAGTGTTGTAGTTTTTAATGTTAATACCACAGTGTTCCCAGTGAATGTTGTTTTATTATATTTTACATCCTGTGATAGCATTCTACACTGTTTAGGTTGCATTGTTTTTTCTCTCTCACCACAGACAGTAGAAAATCTTAGCCAAATCAAGACTCAATTGGCTAACTAGTAGTGGTTTAAGTCTGAGTGACAATACTTTGTATTTTCTCAAATCTAACAAAGATCTGAAGCAAATTATCTGCGATAACATTGTGGTATATTTTGTGACGTACAATATTATGTTTCCTGGTTTCCTTCTATCATCTTTTTGACTTGTCTACAGCATGTGAACAAAATGGAAAAGAATTATTGTCTACTCCAGGTGCCGGTCGGTGACCCGGCTTCTCTCTAGCTGCTTTCTACTTATGTATAAAAACAAAGGCGTAATGTTTTTCTGGTATGTACCATATGTGTTTCTAAGTTAAAGTTATTGTCTTAATAATTTTATTGATGTTTTAATTACGGCTGCTCACATTAAAAACTGTGCCAATTGTATTGGAGTGTCCTATGCATTTGAAGTATTTTCAGTTTGTTAAATCAGTGTCAATGTAGTAAATTAGCTTGAATTTTATCT